GCTTCTGGCCATCTCTGGTGTTTCTATGGATGTATCACCTCAATCTCTGCCTTCACCATCACACGGTGTTCTCCCTATGTCTCTCTATGTCCAAATTTCTCCCTTTTATAGAGACACCAGCCATGTTGGATTTTGTAATCTCATTTTAACTTGATCACCATTGTACAGACCTCATCTCCACAGAAGGTCACATTCCAAGATGCTGGGGGTCAGGTCTCCAACATGTCTTTTGGGAGCAGGACACAATTCAACCCATAACATTTTATTACCCACATGCTTATCATTCTCCAATGGTCTCTCATTACACTTAGGGCAAAATCCAAACCCTTCCCACTCCTCCCCACCCCAGGGCCTTCGCACATCCTTTTCCCTCTGTCTGGAGCCTTCCTCTCTGACATCTTCCTCTTCCTGCAGCTAATTCCTTCTCATCCTTAGAATTGGCTTTGAGGTCAATTCCTCAGGAGGCCACGGCATCCTCATTCCCTGCATCCTGCCCACTTCTGCCATAGCAGTTACCACACTCAGTTTACAGCTTTTAAAAAATGTGTCCGTCTGCCCTACTAGAATGCAAACCCTATAAGAAGAAGTATAACACAGTAGAAGCAGTAGAGAGTGACAAGCAGAGGCAGAATCTAGAGACAAATCATCTTGGTTAAATCCTGGCTCTATCTCACACCAGCTGTGTTACTTGGGCAAGCGCCTGAGGCTCTCCATGCCTCAGTTTCCTCATTTGTAAAGTGGGATAATGGAGCATTCCCTTGAAGGGTTGTTAGGTGAAGGAGATGAGCTCATACGTGTAAAGCTCTTGGAAGCCTACTCATCACTCAGTCGGAGGTTACGTGAGGGTTAACGAGGATTATTACAGGCGCAGGGGCCGACCAAGGCAGGTGTACTCACCTCTGTGCATGCACCCAGAGCTCGGCACGGTGCCTGGCTTGACAAATATTTGCCGAACGAACAAACTTCTGATCAGCCATATGTTGCTCACACAGTCTCCTTTTGTTTTTTAAGCTTTATCACAGCTTCTAAAAAGGGCCTAATTTATGCCGTCCCTGTGAATTAGGCGTGGCTCATGCAGCTTCATCCCCTGGGAATGTTCCAGGGACTCTGACACAGAGCTGCTCCAGGGAAACCTCGTTTATAAGAAAGAATAAGTCTACGGCCATGCCACCCTGAACATGCCCGATCTCATCTGATCTCGGAAGCTAAGCAGAGTCGGGCATGTTTAGATGGGAGATCACCTAGGAAGACCAGGTGCTGTAGGTATTGTTTTTAAAAAAAGAAAGAAAGAATAAAACATGATCCTTCATACCCGAGCAAAGCTGAGCATCTCCACCTCAACTCCCACCATGGGGCACCGAGACAGGGATCCGTAGGGCTACGGTTTTCAGTCCACCTGGAGGTCCCACCTGGAGGTCCCACCTGGGCCTCCCAGAGCTACGCCATCATAAATTAAAGAGGAATGTCTATATGGTGCATTAGCCTTTAGCAAAGGCTTTCGCGTATGTTAATTTAGAGCACCAGGACTAAGAATGAAGCCTGATTAGAGCTTTTTGGAAGACCTTCTGCTGCACATCGCTTTGACAAAAAAAAAAAAAAATACAAGCAAGTGGAAGATAGCAAAGAAATATCCATGCAGCCCAACCACGCCATGCAGCCAGGGTGGAGGAGGCAAGCAAGAATCCGAACATCCTGGTCTTGTGTCATCTCCATCCTTCCTGCAGCTTCCCCTCCCTCCTCTCTCCCGATGCCACCGTTATTTCCAGGTGGACTCACGGCTTCTGGGTTAATGGATAGGGACACAGCAGGTGGCAATGGACAGATCCCTTTATTTTAATTGTGAGTCCCCAAAACTGAGAAATGGAGTGTCTGCGGTCACTAATGTGGATCCTTACCTATGTCAAGGGACTTGGCAGAGAGGTGGAAACAAAGCCGGAGCTTAACTGACCCTCAGACAGTGCTGCCTTTTGCAGCCTGTGCTTCTCCTGTCCCTCATGCTTCCCCAGATGGGATGAATGCTTTGTTCCCATCTTACAATTAGCAGGAGGGGACAAGAGGCCTCATGCTGCTTCGAGGTGCGAGTGCTCTCCCACAGCCCTGACAGCCACAGGGCTCCCTCCATCCACCAGCAGGTCCAGACTTGGAGGAGATGCGGCTTCTCCAGTTATGACTGGGGAGGTTCCCCTTCCACGGGCTGAGCCCCGTCACCATGACAACTGGTGGCACCGTATTGTTCCGTCCCCTTGAGAGCAAGACCTCAGGAGCAAGCTGACACCCGTCCTCCAAACTATTGTCTTCTCGTTCCGTTTGGTCACTATGTGTCCCCACCTCCTTCCCTGTCACCACAGTTAGATGATGCCACTGAATCTCTCTGTCTTTCAGGCTCCCCATTCTCCACAGCTTTTGTGTGTGTGTGTGTGCACAAATTATCCCTTACAAAGCTTTCCATTTAGTATAAATGAGTTCCTCAATTGTTAAGAAATGAAGGTGATTATACACTCAAACATTCATATTCAGCCACCCAATAAATATTTATTGAGAGAAATTATGTGCCAGACACTTATGAGAATTCTCAAGCATTGGAAGGGACCAAGAATAGATTTCACCTCGTGTAGTGACTGGTCCACCGGTAGTGGCTGCCTGCAGAGTGTGCTGAGAAGGATTCTGAGGCTGTCCTGGGCCCAATATAGAGTCTGTGATTAGCAATGCCGGCCAAACCACCCACAGTCCTCTGCCGCTGCTCCTGCTACCATTCCCACCCACTCTGTGTGGCCCCAGATGCCTTGGTGAGTCATTAGACACCACACACCCTCCATCTGCAGTCTCAACCACACCTTCTGTCAAGAGGCAATGAAGTAACCAGGAGCTCAAACTTCAGGGCAGAGCCCTGGGTGCAAAGCGCAGCCTCACCACTTAACAGGCGGTGTGTGCCTCTGGCCACACTAGCCACTGAGCCTCCCTCCCGTGTCCTGAGGCTCAGTGGGGATGATTAAGCTGCTGCTCGGGAAAGGAAGCTGATTCCCAACTAACTCATTTCACCCTCCGCTGACAAGTTGGTGTCCAAGGAGAGCTGGCCCTTTCTGAGATTTTGCAGAGAATTCTGTAGCCCCCAGACTCTCATTCTGGTTTCTGGTTCCTCTCAGTCTTCCACCAGAATTTCCAGAATTTCCCTTACTTCTAGGTCCTTGCACTGGTGACATTTGTCTGTTTGCTTGCGCTGCCAGTGATAGCCCCTGACCCTCTACATCTGTTCACCTGGATGACATGCCTCTCCCTTCCCCCTCCCTCCTCCCTCGTTTGTTTCCTTCCTTCCTTCCTCTCCAGCCCAGGCTCTGCGCCAAGTGCTGAGGAGTCCCTGGAACAAGATGATGGTCCCCGCCCCTCAGCCTGCAGTCCAAGGGGTTCCGGCAGGCGAGCAATGACCCTGTGACCGCAGGGTGAGGGCCAGGAGAGCAGAGGTCAGGGTACTTGAGGAGACACTGGAGGCCTCCAAGCCGGCCTGCAGGAGACAGAAGGGCTGCCCAGGGGAACCGGCCTCCAGCAAAACAAGGGGGAAAAGGAAAGGTACAGGACCAGGAAAGAGACTTCCCAGCTGAAGGAACTGTGCATGCAAGGGCAGGAATCTAGAGTGGGGAGGGCTGCATTCAAGGGACAGGAAACAGTGTAGAGTCAGCTCTAGAATGAATGGAGGACAGGGCGAGGGACAATGGCTTCCAACGAGCCACCAAAGCCAAGCAAGGGCCACGTACACCATGTTCGAGATTCAGTACTTTATCTCAAGACCCTGGAGAAACAGCCTGATTCAGATCTCAGCTCCACCACGCAGTGGCTCCCTGACCTTGAGAGAATTTATTAATTTTCCTTATGAACAGTTTCTCCTTTGATAAAACCGGGATAATAGAAAGTGACAATTTCATTGGGTTACCGTGAAAATTAAATGACATAGGGCCTGCCATTCACCAAGCACGCAGCAAACTTTAGCTGTTCTTCAACCTGGACAAGGGGAGTGTAGTCAAATGGACAGAAGTCGAGGAATTCCAAAAATGTGTTAGAACAACACACTTTTGGTTCGGATTAGCCCCTCCCATCTCTGGCTTCTTTTTATTAATCGGGAGCCCACCCGCTGTCCGTCTAAAGCCCATTTCCTCACGTCAAGGAATTTAGTCCTTACCCCAGAATCCAGGACTCTTCATGGCCCCCCATACTATTCACATATGATGATGAGAGGACCACGAGGGACCTGGATTCCGTGACCAAGGCCGCTGCAGCAACCCCATGTCTCATTCCTTCAACTACTTATTGGGGAGTCGGACAATAAATCGATTAAGAAGCAAGAAAATGATGGGTGAGGAGACAGAGTCATGGGGGACCCTCTGGACAGGGCACTCCGAGATGGCCTCTGCAGTGGCGGCACTGGATTAAAACTGGACCGTGGGGATGGGTAAGCCATTTGGAGAGCTGTGGAATGGCATTCCCGGGAAAGGAGAGAGAGGAGCAAAAACCCCAGAGATGGGAGAGGTGAAACCGAGGCCAGCGAGCCTGAGGAACCCGAGCACAGGGCGGGGCAGGAGATGGAGAGGCAGGAGAGGGGGCAGAGCGGGTCCTGCAGGGAGTAGGGCCTACAGGGAGTAGGGCGTGGGCACCCAGGCTCAGTTTCTTGGGATGCTGACGGAAAGCCTGGGAGGATTTGAAGCAGGGGGAAGATATGAGTGATTCCAGAAACCAGATGTGAGATCTGTGAGGACAGGACTCCATTCTCTTGTCTTGTCTTCCCAGCACCTAAATGAATTTTGGTAAAGGCCTTTCTGGCAGTTTGGCGGCACGGGGGATGGGGGGTGGAGAAGGAAGAGAAGTGGAAATCCAGACCCCAAAGAATCACCGAATGCATATCCCAGAGCCTATAATATAATACACTCTCGTCAAACACTCGAATGTTATTTCATAAGGGACAGCAGAGACAGCAGGAGGGAGCATTCGCTTTCATAAGCTCAATAACTCACATGGACCAGACGTCAATTTTGGGGCCATATTTCTTCCTGGCAAGAAGTTCGGGCGCGGCGTAGGCGGGGCTGCCACACTGCGTGCTGAACGGGTCCGAGTGGCCGAGGATGCCTGCGCAGTTGCTCAAACCGAAGTCTGCGAAGAGGGGAGGAGAAAACCAGCTCCAAATTAGAAAATTGTGGAAATGAAGAAGGAATAATAATAATAATAATAATAAAAAGGCAGCAGGAAAGGAAACATTCTCTCAGGCTAACACATCGTTTAGCATCCAAAAGGAAAACCAGCAGCTGCAAACTATAACCCCTGGATATGAGCCTCAAGACACAAGGATGTCAGCTGGTGGTTCCTTGGCTTAACTGGAAACATTTTACATCAGGCCTCGCTATAAAATCCAGCTAGGGCTAAAAGAATGTTGAACCGAAACATGTTTATATCAAATCTTGGAAATGAGTCATCCAGGAAAAAGAGAGGCTTTGCTTTCTAGGACTGAGGCAGGAAGCGAGAACAAGCAGAGGGCCTTGGGGTCAGCGATCCAGCTTCCAAGTGGCCAAGCGGGGGGAAAAGCTGAAGGAAGACTGATTTTCTCTGGCTGATGTCAGCGACACCCCAAGTGACATGTGATCCCACCATTTAGAGTTGACTTTTTCAGCTGAATGTTTTCATCTCATGCGAGTCTTTTAAAAATGCTCCCAAATGCATGCAACATATGGTGATATGAAGAGGGGAAAAAAAAAACAAAAAACACCCAGTGATTTAGACAACGCTGAATGTTGGCTGGAAAAATAATGCCAGAAAGATAGCAATAAGAATGAGGCTAAGTGACCGCATAGCATCTTTTCGTTCCCGGATGATTAAGGCAATTGGGAAGAGAAAAGAAGAACCCAATGCATCTAAAGCACCTGGGCCCCAAAGTTCTGCCTTTGGGGCGGTGTTTGCTTTTGATCTTAAAGGCAGGTAATTACAGAGCTGTTTGTGTTCCCTCCTCATCTGATATATTCTCCAATCTTTTCTGAGCTGAGAATGAAGATCATGGTTCCTCCTTTGAATTTCGATGGAAATTTTATGGTTCTCGTTCTCAAACAGAAGACCGTCAGCCCACAGAGCCCGAAGGGGCTGCGGTCAGAGACCAGCTGCACGTCTTGAACGAAACCCTCGCGCTTTCTCAACCAGCCGGATTTGTATCTCATTCCGCAACTGCGTTTTCTCCTTGGCTCTAACGTGTGGCCACCTGCCAGATGAATGACTACAGGTAAAGGCGTGGGAAAACTCAGGAAAGGAAGACACGGCACGGGGCTGTGAGTCCCGGGAGCGCCACTAAAACTCCCGACAAAGAGCTTTTCCGAACCCCATCTTGGCAGAGTTCTTCGAGGTTCTGAAAGTCACCCAAAGTCTCCACCTCGGGGTTGGAAACGAAGAATCAGAACCTACCATCGGGATCGGCAAACCAATCGGAAATTGGGTCCGCGCATGTCACACTCTTCCTTTGTTTTTACGATTCATTCTTTTTTTTTTCTCACGGCCTCCTTCTCCTCTCTTCCTTTGCTCCCTACTCTCCCACGGCCCGCCCTCGCCCAGTCCCCATTTCCTTATTCCAATGACCCATAGGTCCCATGTCACGTGCCCAGGAAGGCCCCCCAGGAGCCCGCTCTCATTCCTATCTTAGGAAGTGATCTCTGTTGAAAAGGGTCTGAGGGGCCTCTGTGCTCAGGCCCCACCCAGTATCACTGAAGTGGGAGAAGGGGAGGTGTGTGAATATTTTTATAAGAAGAAAGATCATATTGCGCTTTAAATGAGATGGCCATTGAAACGCTTTGGGTTTGAAAATCAACCCAAAGAGATGTGAACGAAACAACGAATGCATCGGGAGCACTCGCTATGGCGAAACGCAGAGACAGCGCCGTGGAATAAAGACTATATTATTTAGGGAAACATTTTAAGAGACGTGTGATAAGCAGTCAGGTTAGAGGCCCAATCGTCTAGGAGTCTCAGCAAACTGCTCTCTCTGGATTTCCGAGATTAAAGCAAAAGACACCATTTCTAATCTCCAGCCAGTAACAGCGCTTCCTCAGCTCCTGGACCTGGGTCTGTAAAGAAATGCTTGACAACAGACAGGGCGGGGCAAGCAAGATAAGAGGCCCGATCACCCCACACGGTTCCCAGGCAAGTTTGGGGATACCGTGGCTTGCCTCGTCTTAAGCACAGTTTCAAGATGACAAATTAGCAGAGGGTTTGGGGAGTGGAAGAGATAAAATCTGCATTTTAAGTGATTTATGTTGACCCAGCCAAAAGAGTTTAATTTAAAATATATGTGTAGAAAGGTAACCAGTACGTTTCACATTCGTAATTGTAATCATTAAAATTTTACGCATATGCCTATAATTAAAGTTGTGAAACCAGAGAGAAGGTCCCAGTAACGTCACACAAGTTGGCCTCCATTTGATTTGGTAAATACGTAAGCCGACGATTACTCAATTTTCTGAGAGCTGCAAAATGAATCTCAAAAACACCCAACTGAAAGTTGCTTTGGAAAACTGAAGTACAATATTGTTCTAAGTTGGCGGCTCTGACATTTTAAGATGATACTGAACTATCGAACATCAGACCGCTTTGTTTTTGAAGGGGAAAGTCCTGATTAAATCAAATCTTAGTCCGGGTTAATTCTAGTTCATTGGAAACATGGCTTACATGACTTCAGTAAAGTTATTATTTCAAAGAAAGAGAAACTATTAAGAAGAAATGGTAATAACGATAATCAACCTTTGAAAAACAATTAGGTAAAACTCCTTTGAAGGAAACTTTCAAAGGGCTTTCAAGTTTGCAAAAAGACCATCGTGGAGACATCTGATCCAAATTGCCCAACCCAGGTACAAGAAAACCCAGAAGACACTGGGCCTTTCTTCCCTCCAGAATCTTCCCTTCCCTCCTCGGCCTATCCCATCTATGAAAAAATGAAGAAATTCAGATTCTGCTGAACAAAAAGCAATTTCCAGTTGCCCCGTGGGGTGGTATGACGTCCCCTTTGATTATGGGTACGAGTTAAGGCTCTTAGGTTTTGCCTGGTCATGACAGAATTGAACGCCACGTGCAAACTTCTAATCAAAGGAAATCTGATTATCAGAGCCTCCTTTCTAGCAATTTGGGGAATTCTGGTTCCTGAGAGGCCCATTTGGGCCCAAAGAGGTGAAATGTCCATTTGGGAGCCAAGCTGAGAGGTGATGACTCTTAAGCATTTGAATAAAATGGCTCCCGGTACCCAAAGAACCACCATCCCACTCACGCCTAGGGGAACAGGGGCTCTAATCTAGGTACATTCATTCTTCATCTTATTTGTGCAGGTTTTGTTATGTGGCCCATCTGTAAGCTACTTATAAATACAGCCACCATTTATAGTGATTGGTTCCTTCAGAATCTTCTGAGCAAAGTTCTAACCAATAAAAGGTCTGTGCTGTTCAACACTGTTTATTCTAGTTTTCTAAATGGTCATCTAGGGCTATTCCTCGGAGAGAGAGAAGAGAGGATAGGTGCAGAGGCAGAAAAAAAGGCAAAAGGGAAGGAAAGAAACAGTATGGACAATGCTGCATTGCGATATGGACACCACCCACCAGCGGACTGCACTGAGCTAGAGTTACCAGCCTCAATCTAGATGATGCACGGAAGTGAACTATTCTCACTTTTGCTGTAACACACTTCTGGCCTTCACACAGCCTGTTCACTTGCAATCTCTGCTGCTGTTAGGGCAACCCTGTCCCCATCACCTCCACATTTTCCGAAGACAAGTTACAGGTCAGCCTGCTAAGGAACCTAAAACAGCTTCCTTTCCTCCATTCCTCTCCCCTGACGGAGACGTGCCTTGGATTAACGCCGCTGATCCCAGAAACGAGGACCAGAAAGACATCCTGCAGGTACTTCATCATCTGCCTTGTTCAATGCTGCCATATTTGGCCCACAGGACAACCAAAATGCAATAGCAAAACAATTTGATAAAAAGAAAATTCTTTGAATTGTCCAAGAATCTTCTAAAACTACATTCTCTAAAATCTTCTAAGAAAAAAAATTGGTTCCCTCTTAATTTTTAGTCTTCTAGTAACGAGTATATTCATCAGCACCTGTCAATGGTGCTTTATCACCCAGCCGAGGGGTCTGGAGTCCCCAAAGCCCCCTGCCTGAGACTGTGTTGGGAGCCAACTGTGATTCCAAAGCATCTAATTGGTCTTTGGAATGATATGTTTTAGAAAGTCCTGAGATAGTTCTCAGCATTTGCCAAACAAAATTTCCTTCTTGAGTACGAAAGCTAAATTCACAAAGTTCTCTTGCCCCTTCTATCCCCTAACAGAAAGTCTTTTTCAAGCCATCGAGGTGGAAGAAATTACTTGCACCTGAGGTGGGAAAAGAAAGGAAAGAGCGGAGTGAAAGACGGTGCTAACATCTGGGTGTAAAAATGGTGCCCTGGAAATTTTCATACAGGCAAACAAAAATGGAAGTCATCTAGAGAATGAACCACGAAGTGAATTCACTTATGGACTCTGAACTGTGAACCAATTATGACTCACTGTCTCCTGGAACCTCCTTCTGATTGTCCAGACCTCTAACTTATCCCTCTGTGGGGATGTCTCTCTGCACAACCACCATTGTATGATTAGGCTTGGATAGATTATATTAAAAGTGAAGGTACATTGTGTTCCCCATTATTTCAGTGTCCCAACATTCATTGAAAAGTGAAATAAGATTTGGCTGAGCTAAGGGCAGCACTTCTGAACCAAACTATTTTCTACTATTTTTTGAGAAGTTTTATGGTTAATCCAAATAAAAATAACCCCTATAAAAGTCAAGATCCATCTGGATTTATGGAGAAGCTGAAGCTTAAATAATACAAAGGACATGTAACCATCATTTTATGGTTACTTCATAGCATTTACCTTTCTAATTATGATTAAATTATTATTAAAATTAATTTTCATTTTCAAAATCATTATTAAATATTGGAGGTAAAAAGAAGTGATCTAGAAGCATTGTCTGGGGGTTAAAAAATAGACCAGGAATAATTTTCTAAGTCAATCCAGAAATACATAACTAAAAATTGACAACACAACATTTAAAGAATAATCTTGCTTTAAAACAAACAAAAACAGTCAGAAAAAAAAAAGTCATACCAATCAGCTTGATATTATTGTCTTCATCTAGTAGCAAATTTTCTATCTTCAAGTCTCTGAAATAAACAAAACCACACAACATTTCAGATAGGCATTTGAAGTAGTGAGATAACATTTTGCTTCTGAAGGAAAACGACCTGTTTTTGAGCCACTCTGAACCAACCCAGAAAGCTTTCTGCTAAAAATGTGCACAATCAGTAAGTAAATATTTATAAAACATGCTACAGTTAATTGCTGCAGATGAAAACAGCTAGAGGATTTCAGAGAGGACAAAGAGCTCTGAGGGCAGAACAGATCACGAGAAGTTTCAGGAAGAAGTGAGACCAAAGCTGAAACCTAGGAGTTACATAGAACCACTTAGGAGACAGTGGAAGGCATCGTCAGGACGGGCGCTGCCTGAACGGTCAAGGAAACACAAATGTGAGATGGTGGGAGACACCAGCCAGAGGAAGAAACAGACTCGGGGCAGCAGCTTAAAAAAAAATTGAACGCAGATATAATTTGTTAGTCCTACAGCCTCTATGCGTGGAGTCTCAATGTCATCCACAAATTGGCAGGTGATAACAAATTAATCTTTTTAGCATGTAGATATTATGGTGGGCAGAAAAATGGAGCCCAAATAGGTCAGTGTCATAATCCCTGATATTACACCTGACCAAATATCAACCTTACAGGATCACAGGGAATTAAGTTTGTAGATGGGATGAAGATTGCTAATCAGATAAGGAGGGTCTTCGGTCATCGATACTGAGGTGATGGGAGGTGGGAAAGAGAAACACATGAGGGTCATGCTGAGTGTGAGGGGCCTGCGGAACCCGTGCTGAGGACTACATGATCTTTGAGCAAAGATAATACGCCTGCCTGGCTTACCGCTGGACTCCCAGTACCTTTGCACATCCCAGGTACACAGCAAATGCCAATGAATCTACAATACCAAAGAGATCGTTTTGGATTTCAGAAGAAAAAATGTAGGCAAAAACACATATTGAGTCATCAAAACCATCAACATCCAGAAGCATCTTAAGTTGTAGCCTGCCAACTCAGATACGCCATGAATAGTAAAATGAAGGAATATTCTTCCTTTCCACACACACACACACACAAAAATGCTCTTTTCCACTGTTGGGAAACAGCATTCTTGGTCTAGCTTTTATTTTTTCGCTTTTGAATAGAGACATGGGCAGAAGAATTCATTTTTTCCTTTTATCTCTCTGTTGTAAGGAATAGAACAGCGTGAGCATGATAAACCAAAATGGCAACTAATAACATCACGTCAAAGTCTCGAGACAAAAGGAAGCAGTTGCTAGAACTGTGGTAAACGGGGGAGCAATGTCCCATTTAACAGAGACAGTCACCCACAGCTCCGTCCCAGCACTGCAGGCTCATCCTTTTTCTAAGAGAAGCTAGAAATCTGGACTTGACCCCAATTTTTAAGTGTTGGCAACCAATTCGCATTTAAAACAACGATAACATACCACACTGAGTACGCTGACCTTGCAGGCAAGATATGGCCTGCAGACTCCCAACTTTCAAACTCGAGTGGAAGCTAAGCCTTGAAAAAGGACATGAGATTGCCCAGGGAGAGGGCACAGAATGAGGGGGAAAGGTCCAGGACAACTGGGGAGCAGACTGGGAAGGAACCATGAAGGAAACCGTTGTCACAGGAACCACGAAGGGCAGCAGGTCAAAATGGGAGGAAGGGTCAAGGGGTCAAGTGCAGAAAAAAGGTGAGCTCTAAAAAGTGTCCAGTGGATTTCAGAATTGGAAGGTAGATGGTTACTTTAAGGCTGGAGAATTGAGTGAAAAGGGAGATAGATCTGTGTTGAACCCTGCAGCTAAGAAATAAAGAGAGTCCCCAATCCAAACACACCAACCAATGAAGGGAAGAATTCTATACCTTCACTTCGACTCAGATGAATCAAACAATACACAGAATATGTTAAAACTATGACAATCTTTAAAAGGGATCACATATGTCCAAACGCAGGGTGACCCCAAATATTAGATGACCCTCTCCACTTTTCCAATGGGAACATGGTCTTATTTAAGAGTATATACTATGATGTTAATATAAATGATTTTAGAAATATTGTTCTCACACCCTCATATTTTATGAAACAATTTCATTAAAACTTGTCACAAGCAGGACCAGGATGACAGAGTCATGGTAGGGTGTCTCCAGTATAACAAGATCTTCAAGTTGACTGGAAGTTTTAAAAAAAGCACTTTTTGAATCTGTGTACGATGCACTTGCTGGGACTCTTACCCAAGCCACTTAAATAATTAGTGCCCATTAAAAATCTCTACAAGTGAACCACTCATTGAATTGTTTTTAGGGTGGTCTCACAAACCATGGCAATTTTGAGGTCATGTCCCTACGGGTTATTATGAAAGCCACAAAAAATGTCTTTCTTTCCTTCCTACTGGTTTCCTCAGGAGACTTCTAAAAGCGCCCAAAGTCATCAGTGAGTCAATATGAAAGACTTTGCAAGGACATTATAAGGTAATTTCCTCTTAAGATACTTAGGACATGATCTAATCCTGACCTTATATTCAAGCATATATGGTAATTCCAAAACACACACATGCGCACACAAGAATGTGCCAGCAATAGCCCAAACTGTGATTCTGTGAAAACTGATTATAACTCAGCAGCACTATTTCAATCTAAAGGAAGGCCAGTTTGTTTCCAGCAAAATTAAAACTCTTTCACTGGGAAGAATGGAAGCCATGCCAAGGCATTAAAAGAGAAATTTGGTTCAGAACAAATACTACGGAGAAAAACAGCTTTTAAAAAAGTGAGGTAAAAGAAAACAATTGCCAAGAATAATAAAGCGAGGTTGGATAGTTCTGGGGCCACAAAAGCCTAGAGAACACCATAGTGATTAGAAGAATGATATAAATAGAAGACTAAAAATAAGAGAAAATGCAAAAGAAACAAATACTTTTAAAAATCGGGGAAATGTCATAAAACCAAGGGAGGAGTATAAAACTATAATTATTAGACAAAACGAAAAAAATTAAATCCTTTAAAAGTCACTATCTTCCCACCCACTGGATCCCATAATAACCCACCCTACGGAAAAAGCTCAGAGCAAACCTGATTAACCAGGGTTTTTACGCATATATCACCTTTCTGTCAAGGTTTTTGAGAGATGTCAACGATAACCAATCTAACTGCCTAAAGGTACCATGACTAGTGAGTGGAAAGGTGAGCCGCAGTGGCATCCGGCCAGATCGGTGTGCCCACCCTACCCAAATGAAAGGAACCTCCGACCTCTTTCGGCTTCGATTATTTCCACCTCCTGCTTTGTCTTTTGAAACGTATCTAGGAAAACAGGCACAAAAATCATATTTTTTAAAGTAGCTTTTGCCTATTTACCCCGATGAGTTGAAAATTTATGGACACGGATGTGTAGAGCAACTTTATTCATAACTGCCAAAATTTGGAAGCAACCAAGATGTCCTTCGATGGCTGAATGGATAAGCAAACTTCGGTACATCCAGGGAGCGGAATATTATTCAGCAATAAGAAGAAATGAGCTATCGAGTCATGAAAAGCCACAGAGAAAACTTAAACACGTTTCTAAGTGAAAGAAGTTAGTCTGAAAAGGTGAAGTACTATGTTCCAATTGTATGACCTTCTGGAAAAGGCAAACCTATAAAGACATTAAAAAGATCAGTGGTCTATGGCCATGCTACCCTGAACAAGCCCGATCTCATCTGATCTGGGAAGCTAAGCAGGGTCAGGCCTGGTTAATACTTGGATGGGAGACCACCTAGGAAGACAAGGTGCTGTAGGCATTAAGAAAATTAAAAAGTAAGGGATTGTAAGCTGACAAGGTCCTTGCAATCTGTGAAAGAAAAGAAAGAAAGAAAGAAAGGAGAGAGAGAGAAAGAACGAACTAATTAGCAGTCCATTCAGCACAGTGGGCCACTCACACACGCTGCCCAGCCACTCAGCGATGACCAAAGAGGCCAAAAATGATCCCAAGGTACCACAAAATTGAGAAATGACTTATTGAATAATAAAAAAGGATGAACATAGTCATAAGGTTTCCATGTTAGTAAATTACAATGTACCTTAAAAGAAAAAAAAAAAATACTAGTAGGCCTCTATTACCCAGAAAACCTATCTCTTTTGGGTTTTACATGTGGTCCATGGAGCAGCATGGTGTTTACTCTAGCTGTGACCCCAAGAGCAAAATATTCGACTCTGTTAAGTGTCCTATTGGCCATATGGGAAGGAAGGTTTTGACAGCGGACCAGCTTGCACATGATGATGGAGGTGATGCTCGATTTCACATGAATGCCCCTTGATCAGATCAGTCACTTTGCGGAGGGGAGAAAGAAGTAGGAGCTCAGCTCTTCCTGCGCGGTCTCGCAGCATGAAGAGTGGCTGGCAAATTGAAGTTCGTGGTGAACTTATAACTGAGAGAAAGGGAAGCAGAAAATGGCCCTCGGATGGAGGGTAAACAGGTTTTTCCTTGGCCAAAGGGGCTTCTAAGAGGAGTAAAGGCAAGTAAGAAAGGGAATGGGGTACACTCTAGTATGAGGGGTGCTGGGTTGGGTTCCAGCATGAGGTTCCAGGTGTGGCAGGGAGCCCGTGTCTTAGGAACAAAGGAAATAACCATGAGGAGGGGGCCCGGGGAGAAGCGGCCACCGTGGGCATAGGCTCTGAGGCTTCCGGCCCCTTGTCTGGTAGCCAGACGGGCGGTTCCAGGAGGAATTGCCCAGTGGGACTCTCAGCAAGGCCCTCCGCAGACCAGACACTGGGCTGTGCTCTCCACTGTGCTTGGGGGCGGGGGTCAGAGATTGAGAGGGGGCCAAAAGGGGAGAGCCTTAATCACCAGCCCTTTGTTCTAGGTGACTTCAAAAGAACAAGCTCCAACAGGCTATGGCTAACCATTAAAGATTCACCCACAAGCTACCAAGTGCACCCCTCGCCCACTCACACTGTCCTTGCATTTCTTTAAAGATGGTAACTTCCAAGGGTTGGAGACTGGCCACAATGAACTCCAATCAGGAGAGGGTCCTGTTGCCATAACAAACACAA